AGGGGAGGGGAGGGAGATAGAGAAACATCGATGTAAGAGAAACATCAATCAGTTGCCTCCCACATGCACCCCAACTGAGGATCAAACCCGCAACCTGGGTATGTGCCCTGACCTGGAATTGAACCCAAGACCCTTGAGTGCACAGGACAATGCTCCAACCAGTGAGCCACACCAGCCAGGGATAAAGTTGCATTCTTTTAGAATGAAACACCAAGAATGAATTTAATCACTCAGACTTTAGATATGAGAATTTGGGAAAAGATTCAAGTAAATTCTTTGCCATGTATATAGATCAAAGTACCTCAGAAAATGTTGTCTTAGTTATCTGTAGTGAAAGAATACTCATAAATCACCACCATGGTCTTTTTACGCATGAAGCAACATTTCTACTAAGTTGCATTCCAAATTAAGAACAGATCTCATGTCAAAGAGAAACCTGGCAACTTTTCTACATCATCTGAAATTGGAGGAAACAATATGATAATAAAATATTAGAAAAGAATTATTACCACCTAGAAGAGAGTTCTAATCAAATTTAGCCATGGGTCAACATGGAGAGCTTAATTGTGAGAAGAAACCCAAACAGCAGCCACCAAATTACATTTGGCTAGAATTATATCCACAGAGTGTCTGCCTGTTTTCCCTTTTGCTATTTACTTTGTTTTGTTTTACTTACTTTTTAGTGCTTTACTGCTGTCTCAGGAGCACATTCATTACAAAACTCAGATGGAATAAAAAAGGGTACACTTCCCATCTGAGTCCTTCAATCTAGGGCATTCTCTTCTCTAGGGGCAACCAATGACCAATTTCTTGTATGTCCTTCCAAAGGAACTGTAGGAACATATATGAATATTTTACCATTTTACCATTAAACCCTACATTTGATATGTGTGTTTATAGTATGAAATTCATCAAGGAGCCAGACACAGCATATCATGGAAATAAATTTTCACAACAGATCACTATTACAGAGAGGTTATATGACATTAAAATAGTATACAAGTGAATGTTATATTAAAGGGAATTCCCAATGGCATACTAGCTACTACAAAACTAATCACTATCAACTCCTATAATTTTGCTTATGCAGAATAATAGCCTAAGGTAAGAAATGCTTATGTTAAAAAACCATAGAGTATGACTAAATTGGCTCAACAGTATCGACCACCTCATTCTGCAAGAAACTGTCAAACTCATGCTCCTGCTGAATAAATTATCTACATAATAATCTTAGGCAGAGGTATAAATGACTCCTCCCCTCTCCACCATCAAAACTAAAATGGATGATTAACCCAAAGAAAACCAATATACTTGCTTTCCAGTTACATATGAAGTGATCTGGTACGATTACTCTGCCCTACACTGGATTCCTTCTCAGGAATGTGAGATTTTAGGAACAGAGTCATTCAATGATAAACACAAGTAAACAAAGAAGGGAGCTGAGAGTGACTGACTGAAGTAGGTATATTGACAAACATATCAAGGGCAACAATTAGAAAGGAGTCTTTATTCAATAGAATAAAAAAAATGAGGCACATTCAACTTCTAAAATTTTCTGACTTTATGTGTTTTTTTTTTAATCCTCACCAGAGGATCTGCCTACTGATTTTAGAGAGAGAGGAAGGGGGGTAGAAAGACATCGATGTGAGAGAGAAACACAGATCAGGATGTGACCTAACCAGGGAAAGAATGTGCAACCTAGGTGTATGCCCTGACCAGGAATCGAACCCGTAGCCTTTAGTGTACAGGACAATGCTCCAACCAACTGAATCACCCAGCCAGGACTAAGGGTCTAACTTTTTTACATGAAAATCTGTGTATGACTGAATGCACAGATGTCAGCAAAATTCTTTTATAAAATGTAATTTCAGCCCAGCCAGTGTTGCTCAGTGGTTGAGCGTCGACCTCTGCACCAAGAGGTTGCCGGTTCAATTCCCAGTGAGGGCACATGCCGAGGTTGGAGGCTCAATCCCCGGTGGGGACCATGCAGGAGACAGCCAGTTGATGTTTCTCTCTCATCAATGTTTCAGTCTCTCTTTCTTCCTCTCTCTCTAAAATCAATAAAAACACATTTTAAAAAATGTAATTTCAGATCAGATGAAGAAATTTTAAAAATTCAGAATTTAATTTCATATCAACTTAAATATCTGTAAATTGTATGATTCTAAAAATACGAAAGAATGAAAAAAAAAAATCAAAATCAAATGTCCTATGCAGGAAACATCCACACATTAACAGAGCCAAAGAACTGCAAATTCCAACCAAGTAAACACACTAGGGGGAAGCTGCAGATTTCTGTGGGTAACAGAAAACTAGGTAAACACACCCTGAAAATAACATCTTTCCCTCATGGTATATATGGTGATTATAAAAGTCCTTAATATGACGGTTAGAATAGTGCAAAGACTGCTCTGATATTGGTAGCTCTGGGTTTCATGCCAAAACCTCTGTTCAAAAAAGTAAGGGGGAAAAACCAACCTTCAGTTACCTGGGATGGTAACTTCTTTGAACTTTAGGAATACTTAGAATTAAATAGTTTGGAGGGTTCCACTTCCAGAATGATAGGGAAAGTTGCTTCACAGACCCACACACCAGTGAAACAAGCAAAACTGACAAAAACTATTTTAAAAAACAACCATTTAAAATCTCGAAATTATCCTGAGGACATATTTAAAATAAAGAAATATTATTCAAGAATATCTACTAAAATTTAGTATAGGTGAAACCAGACATGAAAGGGTCCAAGCTGTCTGCTGCTACCAGTCAAATAAGTAGAGACGAGGTTGAATCTTTGTCATGCATTTATTAATCAGATAGCAGCAATCAGAGAGAGGCGGGTGTAACACCCTGAAAAGACCACTCTGACATTTCATTTCAAACACACTCATATAGGGTCAGTGGGTAGGAAAAAATCTAAAGTTAGCGAGTTCCCATCCCCGGGTCTGCCTCCTTTGTTTGTCCTTGCAAAGATTAGCCCAGAATGCTGTCTCCCTTCAGATAGGTTCTGTCCTTGATCTGGGCTCTGGGCTGCCTTATCCCCAGGCCCTGTTCTCCTGCTTGCCACACATCCTTCAGTTTCCTAGAATCTGTAAGAAAAGCTCTTCTTTATAGTGAATAGCTATTAAACAACTGTGATTCTATTTCTATTATGTGCCTCTCTCCTATCATAGGGACAGTTTATGGTATTTCCTACCTTGCCCCAGCTCAGGTTGACAGATGCTCCATTCCAGGTAGGTGTGGCCAAGAAAACAGAGCTCCCTCACAGCTCTTAATCAAGGTTTACTGTATGTCACAGAAAAAGGTAGGTCATCAACATTTCTCATCCCCTCCAACTCCAAGTTAAAGAGGCTACATTCCCAGTGAGTATCGCTAAGAGATAAGAGGCTCCCTTTCTCCAACCAATCTCCACCTATAAAACAGAAACTTTATCACAGGGCGGCAGGCTGAGATTGCTGGGGATCCACTGCTCTCACCCCCATTTGCTCAAAGTACACCAGAAGTAACAAGTCAGAGGCTACTGCCCAGCCTGTCTTATTCTATCCCTTCATTTTCTTACATATCAAATATTGATCTCTCCTTCACTTCCTCTCTAATACTTAAGCAATTAGCTTCTATTATAAATGAAATTCAGAGTCTCAGATCATCCATTGTTATAATTTGTGATCATTCTAGTAAGTGATAGCATAAGAGGCAAAAATATTTACTAATAAAAAAACAGCTAAGCACTTTATGCATAAACAATGTAACTGTGATTTAGGCTAAAACTAATTGTTTTGGCTTATGCTTTGGCATGCTCATAAAACATAATTACCTATTTAATTTTAAAGCATGTATCCTTTATTAACCTAAGTCTTATTACATTTACTTCAAACTAATAAAACTACAGCTCTTTTAAACATTTTGCATTACAACTGATCAACTTTATATTTAGCAAGTTACTTTACAATATGAATTTGTGCTTATTTGTTTATACTTTAACAGCAATTTTCTTCATACTTTCCTCCTCCACAATGGTCTGTATACACTGCACTGGTGATTAGCTGTCCAATTGTTAAACTATCTCTTACCAAACTAATGGGTAAGTGTACAGTAACTCCTTTCCTCATTCTAAAATCTTTTTCCAAAGAACAAAAATTCTTCCTACATCCCAACTTAACTCTTAAAGATTTAAATATTTCAAAACAATACTAGATTAAAAAATGATAAATTCAGCAAACTTTTATTCAAATATTTACTGTACACCTAACTATGCCAGATATTAGGCAGTTGGGACAACAAAACCAAGATCCCTGCTTTCGTGGAGCTTATTTGTTCTCGAAGTGCCAGAAAATTCCTTTCTTCTTTTGAACTACTGTGCTTGATGGGGGGGAAATACCAGAAAACTACACACCAATACATTATTTATAAATAATGGACATCATTTTAAAATAAAAATCAAACTACTTCTAGAATCTATATAGACCTAAGGAAGAAAAATTAATGTCTGAAGAAATCAACCAGTCAATTTGGTATAGGTTTGGAGAATAGCTTACTAAGGTATGTCACTGACAAGGCCATTGTCTTGCTATGTGATCTTGAGCACATCACAGGTTTTCCAATTTCCTCCTTCATAAAACTGGTAATAAAGCACCAAGAAAGTTCTGGGGAATAACTACTGAATGAATCATAGGCAAATGTTATAAAATTGTAATCATTTGTGACTATTAATTTTCAGCTAATTAGAACAGAATGACCAAAGTAAGAGATGAGGTTTTTCCCTCTTCCACATGTATAATGCATTGCAAATATAAGTACTGTTTTCCATCACTGTGGTTTATCTTCTTTAAAATATATACAACCCAGTTAATGTTAATTATATTTTTAAAATATAAATGAAATTTTAGAATAATTTCCCTACGGGAATTTTATGAAATAAGCTTTTGTTTTTTTTCTCATTAAGGATTATAGGAATAAATATGTAGGATTCCTGTCAGACTAAGACTGACTGGCTTCTGAAGTGAAAGCTGTAATACGAGGGTAATCTGTCACTCTAGGCATGCTATCTCTGACAGCCTGTATGCAAATGAAATTATAGCTGGCACATGACCAGAGATGCTTGAACCTACAAAAACCATTTTTCAAAAATTTAATTAAATTTCTTACATAATATTCACTGACAACTATTTTTCTAATAATACTAATTTTAAATATGAAAATCTCACAAAAACAAACTGTAAAGATTAGTGAATAGATTTTCAAGAATTACTACTTTTAAAGGATTTCTTTTACACACTAAAAATACCCCAAAAGACACAAATGTAGGGACACAGAAAAATTGTGCACCTCAGATTTCCTAATACTCAACAAAATTTTTATAGTCCCTACAGAGTGAAAAAGCAAAGAACAAAGAGTTTCATAGCCTCTGCTAGATTAGTTGAATAGACACTCATTACACATAAAAATGCCAACAATTTAGTAATTTTAAAACAAGCTTTGAAAAACTAAGTACCACAGTGCCCTCTACTGTCATTTTAAAGAAACTTAATCTGTATAATAAACTAGTTTTTAAATTTATGAAACTATATTCAATACAACCAATTAAAAAAGAAACAGCTCTTCTTTATTAATATATTATAGTAAACTTTTACCTCATAAAGAGAAGAAAAATAGATAACTCCTACTATGTCTGATTGCTTCAAATATAAATAACAATATTCTCATACCCCTCAAAACTGTTTTTATCACTATACTATTTTACTTTTTAACTGCCTTCAGGCGTACAGGAAGGATAAGCTTAGAAAATAAAATTATGTTATAGGAAAGGAAGCAACTCTATAAAGAGAATATCTTTAGATGAGATTTCAAAGACCTGTGCTCCAGAGAGCATGCTTAAAGCAGTGTTCTCCGAAGTGCGTTAAGTAATATGACCCAATGGGGTGCAAAAGAAAATATTATCACTTCTATTTATAATTAAGTATTACTAATTATTAGTACAGAGAATACCACTCCCTCCTTGGGTTGGTATAGGTACACTGATAGAAAGGGAGAAGTTCCATACCATGGAGTGTTAACAATGGCACTCGCAAAGAAACTACATTCACCCACAGAGAATCTATGTTGAAGGAAGTCTAATTATACAATCACAATGAACAAGTATACAACAGCTGTTTCTTTCTTACTCCTAGTTCAAACTCTTCATTAGAATTAAAACTCTAATCAGATATGACAATAATTTTAAAAAGCAGAAATTATACAGATTAATTGTGCTGTGGATTCACATTTCACTATCATTAACAATGAACCTCACCGTAAGTACATATTATGGCCTCAAGATAATGGGTAATGACAGTATGATTCCATCACAATTAGCAAGACATTTTTAATAGTTTATTTCATATTATCTCTTCCTTAATCCTATCTCTTTTTGTGTAGGTTTCATGAGGCACATCATACATTAATATATAATAAATGTAAATAATCACAGATAAATAGAGATAAGCTTATCAACAAGATCTATAATTAAGAATATTTTTAGCAAGTGTTATTATAATTAAAGAAGCCTTCAGATGAACCAGATGCTTCGAAAACAAAAGCCTTGAGTACAGAGAGTGACTATATACAGCAGCTGTATAAAGTCCCTATTGTGGATGACAAAGTGATGGATCACTGTGACCGAGAAGCTTATCATAAAGTAATCACCTATATTCTTATGCTATTACTTTCTCTTCTATAAAAATATAAATATAAATATAGCACACATCTTTCTTAATAGCAAATTAAGTTAATTACTCTTCCCTCTGCAAACTTGTATTTTCATAATTTGTTTTAAATACTAGTCATTTAGACATGTTGTCACTCACATTCAATTCACTATGAATTCCAGAGAAAACAATTTCTTACTTATTTTTCAATAACCCAAATTGTATACTTACTGGATATTGGATATTAAAGAAATAATGACTGAATGAATAACTACCCACGTGATTTATCAAAGTGAGCTTCCAGATCCCAGTGTAGCAGAATTCTATGCTCCTTATCCACTGGCCAACTAAAGGGAACAGCATAAATGTCCAACATGACAATCCAGAAATCAAAGGTTAAAGTGGTCCCAAGGACTAGCTATCCCCTCAGTAGAAATATTTTACCAAGAACAGCACAGAATTAAGGGACCATGTTACTAGAAAATATTTTCATTTGTCTATTCTTTCCTCTCCTTTCCCTTACCTAAAAACTATATTTTAAAATACAGGCTTTGTATAGCTGATTTATTAAGGAAGTATTCCATCTAATTTTATATAAATGTCCATTTCTTCAAAAGAGCAAGAGGAGATTGAGAATTTTCTCTGATATGAAAAAGAAAATATAATAAGGTTTAAATCAGTGTTACTTGACTACATAAGAAAATACAATAATGCTATGAATAAGTCACTGATTTTGATGCCCTTAAAAGAAGTATTTTTCATCAATGTAACATTTATTTGTAGCTGGAAAGTGAGTGCTTTTGAAAGCCCCAGAATGAAACAATTTATTTATGGTGAGCTGTAGTATTAACACATGCAAAATTATAGAATAAACAAAGAAGGCTATTAAATGCCCTTAATCTCTGAATCTAGAAAACTACCCTAATACGGCAGAAGTTGACTAACAGCAAAATAGACCGATTTCATAAATAATAATAATGATATTTCATGGAGGGGAAATGAAAACAAGAAGAGGGAGGAAAAATAGGGGGAGGGGAGAAGGGAGAGGAGGAGAGAGGAAGAAAAAGAAGAGAAAGAGTAGGAAAAGGTAAAGAGGAAGAAATTAACATTAATTGAACACTTTTACGTTACAGGCACTATGCTAAATATTTGACCTTCACTTAATTCTCATAAAACCTGTAAAGAAAAGGTAGAATTGTTGTCCTAATTTACAGATGAAGAAACCAAGATTTAGAGAGGTTAAGCAACTTTCTCAAGAGAAAACAGCTGGGGCTAGAACCCAGTTCTGTCTAATTCAAAAACTGATGCCCTTAACTAATCCATTTTGTTGATTCCATATAAGCATTTAATGTTCAATGAAAAGTTTTAACACATAATTCTATGTAGCTTCCCTAGGTCCCAGAAGGCCTAGCACTAGAAGGAAAACACTTGGTGATAAACAAACAAACCTAAGTGTCTAAAAGAGACCCCCAAGAAATAAAAGGTGAAAGCCAAAACATTCATAAAATTCTCCAGTACAGCCCGGCCGGGAGTGGCTCAGCAGTTGAGCATCAACCTAGGATCCAGGTGATCAAGGTTCGATTCCCGGTGAGGATAAGCCTGTTAAGAGATTCCGGGAGCCAAGCTGAAAGAGCTCCCAATGGCCCCCAAAAAATAATCTGGGCAACAAAATAAATAATAGTATTGGATTATAACCAAGAGAATAAAATAAATACTCATAATTCCACACAGACATAAACAACTTAAATAGGAAGAAACAGCTCTTACACATAGAAAAATTCCAATCAATAAATGTAGAAATAATTATGTAAGTAGAAAATCACCATTAGAACACCATAACGATAATTGTTACAGGCAAAGTCTACTGATAGATGCAAAAATTACTGGGCAGAAATTTGAGGAAAAACAGAATATTTGGATAGTCTTAAAATAACCCCCCTCTAAGGTATTTATTAATTGCAAAGGGGAAAAGAGTAGCTTTACAGTAGAAAAACCCAGCAGACACCACCTTCACCAAGTGATCATGGTTAATCTCATCAGGAATAAGGCATATAGACATCATGTACCTCTGTTCTAAGAAGGACACATCACACTGTAATTATTTCTGCCAAAAAATGTGTAACCTCATTCTAATCACAGAGAAAACATGAGTCAAACCCAAACTGAGAGACATTCTACAAAAATAACTGACTAGTTATTCTTCAAAAGTATCAAGACCATGGGAAACAAGAAAGGCCTGAGGAGCCATCACAAACTCGAGGAGACCAAGAAGATATTATAATTAATGGAACATGGACCCTGGGTTAGATCCCGGACCAGAGAAAAAGGATATTAGTAGGAAAACTGGTGAATTCTAAAACAGTTAACAGTGTTGTATCAATGTTCATTTCTTAGTTTAAATAACAGAACTTGCTGGGAAATAATTCTCCATAGGCCTCTTGCATTTCTGCATATCTTATGAGTGAGGCACTAGCTATGCTTTTATTCTGGACTATCCTTTTAAAGATGTTTATATGGTGAACTGCTTTTGAAACAGGTAAGTTCTCCAACCGGAGCAAAGGGTAGTTTTGCTTGCAACCCATTATAAAAGATTTGGGAACCCTAAACTCAGGTTTCATCAGCCAAGATTCAAACCCACTGGGTTCACAGCATCCACCTAGGCTCCTCTGTGAAACCCCTACAGAACTGGGATAGGAGGGAAGAGCAAGGGAAAATGCCACACATGAAGCTCATACTAGATACTGTGCCATGAGTAAAAATCTTTGTCTTTCACCCAAGAATCTCATGTATTTTGTCAGCATCCATGAGACTGTGGTAGGCTAATATGTCCACTGCAAATAAAACCTCAGACCCTTTACAATTCATAATAGTACTATTGTTATGTATAATAATCATATTGTGTTATTGGGTTATTGGGTTATTGGGTGAAGGGTATACGGGAACTCTCAGTAATATTTTTATAACTTTTCAGTAAGTCAAAAAATATTTTTAAATTAAAAATTAAATCAATCAGTATCCAAATACCAATTCCTCCATTCCAAATAATAATAATAATAATAATAATGATGATGATGATGATAATGGGCAAGAGCTTATAAAGCAGTCTGCAAAGCCACTATGTCTTAACAT